TGATAGGGAAATTGGCCCCATGCTTCAAGAAAATCTGGGAAGTAAATTTTCTATATGTAGAATTTTGAAACCAAATGCTCCTCTTGCAAAGGTTGTTGAGGATATAGGGAAGCTTGGTAAAGGCCTTACCAAGCAAGATCATACTGATATAGTGGGAGGGCCAGGAAACAGCCTGGACAGAAACTGTCATTATTCAATTGAAAATGATCTCAACTACATCGCAGAGAGGACATCAAACACAAATGTGGGATTTGTCAGCACCTTTGAGAGGCATGACAAGCCGTGGATAAATGGGAGGGTTAGGAGCATGAATCTAGGGCTTGATCGGGCCCTGATGGGTCAAGACATCTCACACTGGTGTCACTGACACATCATCAATTGTGAGGGAAGATTACACAACACATGGCCTGCACCTGAGCTCTCAAGGCAAGAAGAGGCTCACGCAGCTTATTGCTGAGAGGGCTGTTGGTGGTCATGTGTCAGGTATAAGCAGTATTCCTGTTATAACCAATGCTAGTGTGTCTCCTTTTATAGATTAAATTCAAAAGCACAAAGATGCCTAATATATACAAGGTGGTTCAAATATGAGCGGGACTGATTTCTTTTTTAAACCAAAATTGCCAAACACTTACTTGCACATGTCAATCTTCAACGTAGTCCCCTCCGGAGTAAACATATTTTTTCCAACGTTCTGGAAGAATCCTGATGCCCTTTTCAAAAAAGTTTTGTGGTTTGCGGCATATCCACTCCCAAACATTCTGGATGACAGCGTCGTTGTCCACAAACCGCATGCCTTGCAAGTCTGATTTGAGCCTTCCAAACAGGTAGAAATCACTTGGTGCCAAATCGAGACCGTACGGCGGATGTGTCAGAAGGTTCCATTACAATTTCCGGAGGGTTTCCATTGTTGTTTTGGCCGTATGGGGGCATGAATTGTCTTGAAAGAAGCCTACCCACTTTCCACCTCTCTTCCGCTTGAATTGGATCATTTCCTTCACGTCTGTTGCCAGGAGGTCTCAGTAATAAGCTGCACTGACTGTTCTGGCATCTGTCAGAAAGTCTACATGGATAACCCCCTGCCAGTCCCAGAAGAACGTTGCCATCACTTTTCCTGCCGAACGGCCCCTCCGCGCTCTCTTGGGTTTGGGAGAACTGGTATGCTGCCACTCACGTGATGACTGCTGGGACTCGGAAATGAAGTAGTGCACCCACGTTTCATCGGTGGTCACTACAGACTTCAAAAATGCATCACCTTCGTTTTCAAACTGCTGTAGGAGACGACTGGCAACTTGCATGCGCACCGTTTTGTTCACGTCCGTCAAAGTGTGTGGTACCCACCGTGCATTCACCTTGCGGTAGTGCAGGTGGTATTTCACGATGTCTTCTACACTACCAACACTGATGGACAGCATTGCTCCAAGTTCCTTGATAGTGATGCGCCTATTCTCATGAATAAGTGCGTCTGCACGATCAATGTTTGGCTTGGTGACGGAGGTTCGCGGCCAAAAATCATGCAGTTCATTCTCCATGCGCTCTCTGCCCTCTCTGAAGCACTTACACCACTCAAACACACTGGTCCGTGAGAGACACTCTTCCCCATACTGTTGTTGGAGTCTGTGGTGAATTTCAGCAGACAGGACGTTTTCTCCAACGAGTAATTTGATCACAATGCGTTGTTCCATGCTCCGCGGTGCCTTCTGTTCACTCATCACTTAAGCAACTTCCAGACAGGACTGAACAGGTTCTAACCCTAAGAGGAGGGAGGGTGGAGGTCGTGGCTTCACTCTCTCAAGGTCGCACAGCTGCTGCGCAGTGTGGCTTGTTTACAAAAAAATCAGTCCCAGTCATATTTGAACCACCTAGTATACAGAAGAGGGAGTAAACACAAAATTCCTTGGCTTGCAAATTGATAATCATTTAAACTTGAAAAACCATATCGATCAGTTGATAAGTTAAGTAGAGCATGTTATGCAGTTAGATTCATGTTACATATTAGTAACACTGACACTCTCAAATCAATCTATTTTGCTTATTTTCACTTTTTAATGAAGTATTGAATAATTTTCTGGGGTAATTAATCTGACAGTAAAAAGGTATTTACATTGCAAAAGAAAATTGTTAGAATCATGATGGGTGTCAAATCCCATAATTCCTGCACAGATCTAACCCTTTCGCGCGGTGATTTAAA